ACGTTTTTTATTATTATTTTTAACTTTCTCCACACGAAAGCCAAATCGCACGCGGAGTAATTTGAGCTGTAATTATTCCTGAGCAGGGGGTGAAAAAAAAAAAAGAGAAAAAAGTGCACACTCTGGACTGGATTAAAACCACTGACCGTGGCAGCGAGTGTAAAAATCACCCCATGAAAGGAATCCGTCCAAGTGGCTCTTAGGAGGAAACTTTGGCCGTAAAACCCAAGAAGTGGGTAAACATAAAGAGTTGAGATGATGATGGTGATGAATGGAAGCGCCGGGGGTTTAAAGTTTGGCCGGTTTGTATCAGTTCACTGAGATGTTGCTTTTCTAATCAAAAAATGTCAGAGTGGTGCAAGAGGAAAAATCTTTTAGCCTCCACTGAAAGTTAACAACTCAAAAAAGCACAATATTTTGTCTTGTAAATGTCAATTTCTGTTCAAAATTTGGTGCTGTGGAGGACAAGATTATTGGAACATGGTGTGAAACAGAAGGAGCTCATCAGTGAATAGTTTGTAGAGACTGAGAGCTTCGATTTTTAGAGATTTGTGCTGGAAATTAACCAAAAGTTAGTCCTCAGGCTGCTCTGACATGGAGCTACAACAGCGGCTGTGGCTCAGGTAGTAGAGCGGTTGTCCTCCAAGGTTGGCGGTTCGATCCACCGCCCCTCCACTGACGAAGTCGCCTTGGGCGAGACACTGAGCCCGAAGTTGCTCCCGATGGCAGGCAGCACCTTGCATGGCAGCTCTGTCGCCGTTGGTATGTAAATGAGTGAATGGGTGAATGAGAAAAACATTGTAAAGCATTTTGGGTAAAAGTACCAGAACAGACCATTTAAGTACAACTGCAGGGATGTAGCAAAAGTCTCATTTAAAATATGTGTAGTTGCATTTAAAGCAGGCAGAATTCCAGTTTGCGATTCTACAACATCATTCGGACCAGTTTGGACTTCATATAGGAGTCTAAAAAAGGTGATGTGGATCTATTGAATTAAAGCAAATTAAAGGTATCTTGAACTAGAATAGAGTCTGTAGATGTCTGAAACCGGTTCAGAATTCAGCTGCAAACATCCACAGTGTTTGTAGATTGTCACGGATGAGAAACAACATAATTTATCTTGAAATCTTCCTTTTGCCTGATTGGATTCCAGATTTCTGCAGCACAGATCTAATCTAGCTGTTAAATGTTAAAACTGCTCATCCTGTGATGCTCCAAACCTCTACGTACCTGATTCGTGGCAAAAAAACAGATAAAACTAAGAGCAGCAGACGAATCCTTTCACTGTCTGTTCACCAGAATGCTTCAGAGTCTGAGAGTTAAACCATTTGAATAGTTGGCATACTTTCTCCTCCTCGGTCGGAAACTTCCTCCAGCGAGACTTCACCTGACGACAAGAGGCATCGGCGCTGTTGCCGTGGTAACCGACGGTTTGAGATACTCCGTGGACCGATTTGACCCCCGCGAACGGTACAGAACGTGCAGCTGCAGACTTGTTCAGAACCGCGTGAGGCCGTGAAATCGCGGCACGGCGTAAAAACACAACCGTCTGAACTCAGAGGAGTTTTCCTCCGATGTTCGCTGCAACATGAAGTCTGTGGAGACAAAACAACCAGGACGAGAAGGAGAGGGAACTTAGAAATGTCTTTTGTGCTGAATGGCACAGTTAGAATGACGGAAAACGTAAAAACTACATCTGCACTTAAACTCTATGAAGATGTCACCATGATGAATGTATCTTCCAACAGTTTGCTCCGTTCACCGTTTCGGGTAAAGATTGCTGAATTTTTGTCATATGACTGTTCATCACAGCTGAGTCACTCATGACTTCTTGAATGCGCTGACAAGTGCAGAATTTTTTTTACTTTTTACAGAATCTGAACACTGCAGATGGTGTGTTTTTGGCAGATTTTTAAATAATTTTGATGAAGTAGTGTCATTTTGAGGTTCGATTTAGTTGATTTTCACACATGATTAGTTCAGGAGATGTTTACAGACACCAGTCCCTCCTGCAGCAGAACAGCCCCACAACATGATGCTGCCACCCCCGTGCTTCACAGTTGGGATGGTGTTCTCAGGCTTCAAGCTTCCCCCTTTTTCCTCCAGATGTAACGATGGTCATTAAGACCAAACAGTTCAGGTTTAGTTCCATCAGACCACATGTCATGTCATGTCTCCACTAATGAAGCTCTTTGTCCCTGTGTGCATTTACAAACTGTAATCTGGCTTTTTAATGTTTCTTCTGGAGTGATGTCTTCTTCCTCTCTGAGCATCCCTCCAGCCCATGTCGGTACAGGACTGGTTCCACTGTGGATAATGACTCTCTAACCAGCTTCAGCATCATCTTCACAAGGTCTTTAGCTTCTGTTCTGGGGTTGATTTGCACATTTCAACCAAAACACTTAATCTCTGGGACACAGAACCATCTCCTTCCTGATCCTATGATGGCTGGACATTCCCATGGTGGTTATACTTGATATAACTGTTTGAACAGATGAACGTGGAACCTTCAGGCATCTGGAAGTTGTACCCAAGGATGAAGCAGACTTGAATTCTCTTCCTGATTTATTTAGATGTTCCATGTTGTCAATAATGGAAGCCGTGTGTGCCTTACAATACATCCACAGGTGTGCCTCCAATTAACTCACATGTTGTCAGTTACCCAATCAGAAGCTTCCAAAGCTATGACATCATCATCTGGGCTTTCCCAAATAGTTTGAAGGCAGAGTAACCTTAGGCCCCGTTTACACATAGCAACAACGGTGATATTTCAATGCGTTTTGTTGAAGTAGCAGAAAGTGATTAGTGCCATTCATCGTTGTCGTTATTTCCAGGATTCTGATTGGCTAGCGTGGCTTTATGCTTCTCGTTACACTGCCCCCATAGGTGTGGCAGCTCGTAGCAGCTCTTAGCGACGTGTTTTTGCGGGTTTGTGTAAACAAAGATTTTTTTTGATAACGTTCTGGTGTGAACAATGTTATTTTTGAAAACGTAGATCCGTTTTCGTTAATACTTAGCTACGTATAAACGTGGCCTAAGTGTATGTAAACTTCTGAAAGAAAGTAGTAAAAAAAAATTCTCTCTCTCATTCTGACATTTAGCAAATAGGACTAATGTTGGTAATCCTAACTGACCGAAAACAGGAAACGTTCAGTCTGATTTAGTGTCACATAGTAAGAAAAAAAATGTGTCTTTTTATACAGTGGATGTAAACTTCTGGTTTCAACTGTATATATAAAGGTTGAATATTCTGTTTATTTTTATAGTGTCTGGCTGATAAATCGTGTAATTTCTTGCAGTTTTAACTCTTTTTTTTTTTTTTTTACAGTTTGGGAGGTTCAGAGGTATAAAATAGTGATTAAACCATTAACCACAACTAAAATCAAGTGTTTAATGGACATCTGTCAACTAGTCAGAAGTGAAAACACTGCAAACATTTCTTGTTTTCTCTACTTTTTAGTGTGTTTTTAAAATTGTGACGCTCCGACTTCCTCCTCCTTCAGCCGCCATGTTTATGAACGGATACACAAACTGCCAACGAGTCGCCCAAACATACCTCCTGGTTTCTTCTTCCAGATCCGGTGTGTGAATAAGTTGTGCGTTCTTTTGTGCGTACGTGTGATTTGCACACTTGATGGGTTGAGGAAGTGTTGCTGCGCTCTGGAAGCGCGGGGGGTTAAAGAAGCCACTGAAGTGCTATGAGTCGTATCGATCGGAAGTTCCCCGGTGCATTGATTACGAGCCCTGTGCAACCAGACGAGCCGAGGACTCGGAGCTCTGCAGCGCGATATCGACGGCCGGAGCGCCGCCGTTGTGTGAGCGTTGTGTCTGTGCTGAGGCAGAACATGCTCCTCCAGCAGAGGAGGGACGTTTAATCAGACGTGTGATTGAATCGGACAATCAGGACCTTTCTTTATTTGTGTTATTGTTGTTGTCTGAATATTTAATCTAACATTTAGGCCTCGTATTGTTTCACATAATCACAATCAGGAATTTGGTTTCCCACAGTTAAATGAACACGGTCGGCTGTGATATCGACGTTTAAAGTGCTCCGCTCAACAAAACAGCTCATGTAGATAAAATCACTAAATCTGACATTAGATCGTCTTGTTTCACTCCTTTTAAATTCATTTCTGTCTGAGCTGATGGAGACTAGAAGCTTCTCCGTGCTCAGCTAACTTCTACCTACACTTCTTGAGGCGCTTTCAGTTTTATATTTATATAAATGATATTTCTGTTGCCTCCAGGAGATGCTCTGAATTCAGGTGATCATTATTTTAAGTCATGCAAATTTGTAAATTAGCATCAATTTAGCATAACACAGAAATAAAAATGGTGCTCTGTTCATTTAAATAGAAATATTTCTTCTTTAAAATCAATAATTAAGTGTGTTAGATGTGTTAATCATGACCTCAGTAGTGATTAAAATAATCCTGATTATCATTTTGGCCATAATCATGCAGTTTAGTTTGTTTTATGGAAATATTTCAGACGAATACTATTTAAAACTATTTAACAATTTTTTTAAATCTAAAAAATATGAATAATTGAGATAAACAGGCTAATTGTGGGCAAGGCAATAATTAAAAATAATTCTGAATATAATTTTGGCTTTCATCCTGCAGGTTTAGTCAGTTGCTTGGAAATATTTTAGCTACAAAAATGATGATTTTGACCAAAACCAGCTTCTCTTTCTTGCAGCTCTTTATATGTTTGATCAGTTAAATCAGTAGCAACACGTTCTGCACGATGAACAGAGCAAAAAAAAACTATTTAAGATGGATTTTTGCTGTTCGTTTACTTCCCTACAAAGTCACCTCAGCCATTCAGGAGTTCTTTCTCAAGAGTTGTTCAAATCATTTAGTAAAAATTATTTTTTTACTTTGCACTCTATAAAACAGTATCAGTTTTTCCCCGATATCGTGCAGCACGACTGACGTGTGAGTTCCATTTGCGCTGCATGTTTTCTAATGACATCTGTGCGGCTTGTGTCTCTGCAGACCTCCATGTATTCTCTGGCCCTCAAGTGTCTGATCAGCCTGTCCACAGTCATCCTGCTGGGCCTCATCATCGCCTACCACGCACGGGAGGTTCAGGTAAAACGCCAGCATGGCACATGCGTCCACATTTTTCACTACAATGTAAAATCCTGCACCTCTTTGGAAACAACACAACCATCACTAGAAGAAGAGAGAAATCAGGAATGTCTTATGTGCAGTATGATAAAGTTAAATTATCAGAAATCTTTAAAGAAAAAAAAAAAGTTGAATTTCTTTGATAACAATCATTTTTTTAAAGCACCTTAACAAAAATATAGACTCTACAAACTATATATATTTTACTACGCTGTCAAAAATATGTGTTTGTAGCAGTTTTTAGTGTATTTTGTTTTACAATTATGTGCAAAATGAAACACTTCAATCATAAAGAAAGACATTTAAAATATGAAATATGATGATCTGATTTTAAGCTTAGACTTGGTTAATTTTCTCCAGGAAACAGAACAGGAAGGATGAGCAGTTCAAATATCATCTGAATATTGGAAATCTACTTGATTTTCTTTGTATTTTCTGTTTTTGTTTCATTTGTCTCTTTCATGCTTTCCAAACAGTTATTCAAGTCATAATACCGTTATGACAGAGGAGCTCAGAATTTTTTGCTTTTCACAGAATTGACTTTCAAATTTTTATGTGTAATTTTAATGCAATATTATGATTTTAATTTTAGATTTGGTTACATTTTTTTTGGAGAAATCAGCACATTATGGATAAAGAGTTCAAGTGTTCTGTATCTACTGGATTATTTAGTATTTTATGAAGTTTTTTCATGCTTTCCAAATAGTTAATCAACTAATGGTGGTATCACAGCTGTGCAGAGGAGCTCAGAATTTTTTATTTTTTTTACAGAATTTAATTTGTGCAAACTGTGTATTTTTAGCAAATTTCTAAATGAGACATTTACAGTAAAGTGATTTTAATGAAATACTGATTTTTGATGATTTTAAGCTCAGATTTGGTTAATTGTTTTTTTTAGGTAACAAAACATTACGAATGAGTCGTTCAAGTATTGTCGGAATATTGACAATCTACTGGATTTTTTTTGTTTTTTTCAGGTTTTTTTTTTTTTTTTTAATTTCAGTTTTTCTATACTTTCCAAATAGTTATTCAAGTCATAAAACTATTGCAGTTGTGCAGAGGAGCTCTACAGATTTAGTTTTTTCACAAAATCCACAAGGCGCAAACAATTTATTTTGTTGAATTTCTAAATGAGACATTGAGAATAAAGTGATTTGCGGATGAGTAGTTCAAGTGCTGTTGAAATATTGAAAAACCTCCTGGATTTTTCATTTTTTTCATGCTTTCCAAATACTTATTCAAGTCATATTGGTTTCACCGTTGCGCTGAGGAGCTTCGAATTTTTAGTTTTTAACAAGCAAACAGTTAAGTTTTAGTGAATTTCTAAATGACATATTTAGAATAATGTGATTTTAATGAAATATTAGGATTTTAAGCTTAGATTTGGTTAATTTTCTTGAGGGATCAGCACATAGTTTTTTTTTTTGTTTGTTTTTTTCCCAGCTTTTCAGTACTTTTCCAAATCGTTGTTCAAGTTGTGATGCCATTGTGGTTGAGGAGCTCACAATTTTTTCACAGGATTTACGTTCACATTTCTAAGCGACACATGTAGAATAAAGTTATTTTGATTAAATGTTGTGATTTTAAACTGAGATTTGATTAGTTTTCTTAAAGGAACGGCACATTACGGATGAGTAGTTCAGACTTGTTTTTTTAGTTTTTATACCTTTTAGTTTTGATAAACGGTGTCATTTTGTGCATTTTTTAAAAGACAAGATAACTTTCAGACCAGTTGGCAGGTTTTGGGGTTCAGACGGTTGATTGGTGAGCTTTACACGCTGCTGTGTGGATTTTACAACCTTCAGATTTCCAGTTTCAAACTGCATCCTTCTGATCTCTATGCTAAGCTAATCCGGCTGCAGCTTTAACATGTAACGATAAGCAGACGCCCGTCCTCGTGTCGTTGTCGTGTCGTCGTCCCCGCGGCTCGGGACACAAACCAGAGGACTCAGGTGCGCGTCGACTGCAGCCAATTAGCCGCATTAATGAGAGCCTCGGCGGCATCGACAGAACGGTCGGCACGGCTTCGCGTCAAGCAGCTTCCACGGCCGGCGTCGAATCCACACCCGACCAATAACAATCTCCTCTCTGGGCCGGACGCACACACAAACACGGCAGAAACAATCAATCAGCGACGCCTTCACGCTTCGCGGTATCCGTTTTGCTGTTTGTCATCTCGCTAATACGGCGCCGCCACGCTCATTTAGCCGCCGTTTTCATCTGAAGCCATTTGCAATCGATGCACATTGACTATTTATGGGGACCAGGCCCAATGAGGGGCCCCCACGCCCGCTATTAGAGCCCCGGTCATCCATCTGACTCCGTGTTAGTTTGATGCCGTGTTTTCTTTTCTGCTTACATCACGGCTCCAAATGTGCTTTATTAGAGCTGCAGCCGATCCGGGCTGAGGTTCCTGCGTTCTCGGTCACAGGGATCAATAAGTAGATGGTGATTGCTTATTGGCCGTCGTACAGCCTGATGGACGGGCAACAGGAACCTGCTGGTGATTAAGATTCACGAGGAGCGTGCGCACATGTGCCGCACGTGCACATTTCATTGATAAAAGAAGCCCACAAGTTTGATGTCGGGCTCGGTCGTCCGCCCACGCACACCGTGGCTGCTGCACGTGACGGGATCCCTGATATCGACGGAAGAAGGAGATGCTGCTGCTGCTGCTGCCGAGGAGGAGGAGGAGGAGGGAGGAGGAGGAAGAGATGAAACGCTCTCCTGCTAATCTACGTGAGAAATAATTCCCTGTGATGAAGTGACGCTGCGAGTTTAAGGAGGAGACTGTGGAGGTTTTGGGTGGGAATCGCAGCAGGACGCGGTGGGATTCAACCGCAAAGTCACTTCTAGTAATAACTTCACTGAGAACACTCGTCTAGTCTTCTGTTTTTTTATCATTCAGTAGCTTTATGGATAATTCTAGTTTTCTAGTTTGTTTCCTGTCGTTGCATAGATGTAGGAACACAGTGACACACGGTGCTCGTTTCACACGTCCGCTCTCGTTTTATTTTAACTTCAGCGGCTGCTTCTTTGCTCTGATGTCGTCTTTAATTCTTTAATCTTTGACTTTTATCTTTTAATCTTCAATCTTATTCTTTTAAACCACCTCTGTTTGATGTGCGTCCTGTTCTAGCTAATTATCCATTTAACCCATTTCTGTTAATTAGACTGCTCTGCCTCGTCTTCTTACGTCCTTCTTGACTGTTATTATAGTTATTATTATTGTTTTATGTCAAATTAAAATGGAAACTAAACTATTCCAGCTCGTTTCTTGAGCGAGCGTTAGGTTTTGTTGTTGTTGTTGTTGTAAATCAGAGGACTTTGAAAATAAGTTTTGGGTAAAAGACTCTTTATCGATGTCTGTCTGGCTGGTTGTTGTATTATTTCAGGTACGTCAGTTGAAGGAAGGTGAACCGAGTTTACCAAAATAAGTATATTACTAAATTTAGACACTTGAGGAGTTCTTATTGATCATCTTGGGACAAACACATACAGAGAATAGTGAATAAAATCAGAACTGTTTTGTCTACGATTAGGAGATGTGTCAAATATCTCACACCACAAAGCACCACACCAGTAATTCAGGCTTTAATATTGTGAATTACGGTACAATTGTTTGGTCACTAGGTAACAAGAGAAAGCTGCTCGTGTTGCTCGTTCCTCTGCAATTTAGTCTCCATCGGCTCGATGTGATCGATCGATTGTTGTACTCGCTAAGTAATCAATATAATCGCAACAAAAACGCCAAACGTTCTCCATAGCAAATTGTCCTTTAGTGCAGAAATACAGAATTATTCAACAAGACATGCTGCTGGAAGTTGCTTTACTTTACCTCAGTCTAAGTCAATTACTCAACATACCGTCACATTCAGAGCATTTCAGCTCAACAGAGGAACATGGTGAGCTTTAGAACAAAAAGGTTATTACTGGTTAATATCGGTGAGGTGTTCTGGGGGACATAAGCGTGATGCAGGGTTCTGGGTTTTATTGTTCTGAGGCTCAACTACGAGGCCAGATGAGTGGGTTATCAGATATGTTGAGCTTAAAGTCAGAGTTTTCAGTGTCATGAAGGTGGCTCTCTTTTAACCTGCTACATCTCCATGGTAACTGATGCTGCAGAGCTAGATCGCCACGGTAACTGATGCTGCAGAGCTAGATCGCCACGGTAACTGATGCTGCAGAGCTAGATCGCCACGGTAACTGATGCTGTGGAGCTCGATCTCCACGGTAACCGATGCTGCGGAGCTAGATCTCCACGGTAACTGATGCAGTGGAGCTAACCTGGTCTGGTCCAGGTTATGTTAAGGATTTAAATCAGCTGAAAGAGCGTCTCCCTTTAACCAGATGGTTTCCTGACTTCTCAGCTGAGGGAATGTGTTTTATCTGCTAACATGCTGAGCTGTGCGTCACTAATATCACTGAATGAAGCCGTGGAGTTACAGTATCGCACACTGTATGTATCGCGTTGCCATGGGAACCAGACGTGTATTTAGTTGGTGATGCAGGAATCACATAAATATGTTTTTGTGTTTGGTCCGTTTACTCTGCTGCTACTGCAGTTGATAGAACACAGATTAGAACATGGATTATTCTACTGGTATTTATTACAGAGAATATTCAATCAGTAACATTAATTTTGCTTTGATTGGGCCAAAAATTAAAACGATATCCTGCATTATGGGACAGTGTCAGACCTAAATCCACTTCAAGACAAGATCAGGTTTAAATGTATGAAGTTTAAAGTTTAACTTAAACATAAGCAACTGCATCGATAAAATATTCTATATGAACACGTTTATCAGTTTTCTACCAGCATTCCTGCCTTCATCATTTGTAGTAGCGGCGCTTCTTATCATCATAAATGTTTATATTCCTCATTGTTCTCCATTAAAACAGCATGTTGACTGAAGCAGCTGAACACGATTGTTTCATGTTGTGCAGAAGAAGAGTCACGT